TTTGCCCCAGTCTTTAAATGCTTCTCTAACCCACTATTTTTCTGCCTATTCAACAAGCTACCTTAACCTTAACTCTTACCATACTTGCAATAATACTTTTTTCCTGAAAATATGTTCTTCACAACTCATTTTCTCTAAGAGGTTATTGTGTTTAAATTGTTATAAAATTAATAACAAAAACAATGAAAAAGCCAAATTCCTTTTTTTTTTTTTCTTCAAATTTCATTCTCACCCTTCAATTCCTTTTCTTTCTGTTTTACTCAGGCACAATTTCTAGGAAATCTTTCCTCTGGTCTCATTCACATCTGCTCAAACTCTTTCACTTTTTCTTTATACCTTCCAACCCCTTCCTATCCATTATCTCTTCCATAATTTGACCTCAACATATCTTTTCAACTATTTGTTCCATAATTCATCCTAAGTGAGCCCCTACTCCAAACTGGTCCTTTACTATTCCCCAAATATGGTGGGCTCTCTCCAGCCCCCATAGCTTGGCACTCACTATCCTCCCATTCTACAATGCTTTTCCTAACTTCTTCAAGAAACTCAACCTGCGGCTGTCCTCTACAAGCTGTTGGACAGAACTACGGCTATTCTACTTTTACTCTTCAGCTTCCTCCAACCCCTATCTTTCCTGTTTTGTTGTCATTCTCCTCTATGCACTCCAAAGACTTCCTCTTGTTGCAAACCATGGACAATCCTTTTCCTCCTTGATGATTTATATGCTGCTTTAATTCCAAACTTTCCATTATTCTTTCTTTATCCTGGCCTTTATCTTAGTTTGGTTCATGCTGCCTTCGAGAAGGAACTATTCTTTGATTATTTCTTTTGCCTCATTTCTCCATGAGCATCCTTCAGGCCTACAACAAGTGGACAAATCTTTCACATGAAATATTTAGGCTACATTTTTAATTCTATACCCTTATTTTCTGGGCCAATAATAGAATGGTCTCCATAAAGGACAGCCATTCCTTTGCTGAATGGAGGAAATGATTCCTCCTCTATTCAAATGGCCCTGCTGACTAATTAAAGAAATATGTCCAAACAGCTCCCAAGAAGAACCCATATGTCATCCAAAGAATTAAATGTTTTGAAAATAAGAAGAGCCACTTGGTCCATTTTTCAATAGAGATTGAGAACAAAGGAAAAGAAAGAGATGAATCAGAATTCAAGATGCAATAAATATAGACATTTCTAGCTAAATGTAAGAAGAAAATATTTAAGCCGAGGCCTCTGGTAAGGCAAAGGCCATCATGTATGTGCCTAAGGGTTTCACCACCTTTGAAACATTTGCCACTAGCTTTGATCAAAGTTGAGCCCTCAAAAGGGAAAATGAGACATAAAAAGGTCGGGGAATAAGAATGATAGGGAGTGGATAGAAGGCTTTGGCATGATACAAAAAGTTCTTTAATATGGTATGCTTCAAAAACAGTGGGGAAAAGAGAAAGAAAACAAACAAACAAACAAAAAAACAGCATGCACTTGAAGATGTCAATGCTTTGTGGGAGTGGATTTAGTAAACTACAAGGCACTATTCCAATGTAGGCTATTTATTATTATTCAACAGATGTGCAATTATGTCTCACCCTCTGCTGAGTGATAAATGGTATTAACTGTGTCCCACCACCTCTCCCAAACCTACAATGACAGAATTAGTTAGAGAAAAACAGAACATTGGGATGGAAGGGCTTATTTCTTCTCTTAAATCCACATTGCCTACTTGGTAACTGAGCTCCTGTACACCAAAGTAGTAGAAATGAGAGGCAGAAGCAGAATGCTGTCTCAACTTGGCTGTCTGCCTTCAAGGATTAAATAAAAATGCGTGTTTATAGAAGTGGAACAGCTGCTTCAGCTAGTTTGGATACCCACTTTTGAGTCCTCAGGATGTTCTATTTTTCTAAGTCCACTACTCTTATAGTCTCTGAAAATTATCAGACTAAAGAGTAAAGATACATAGATGGTTTGGGTCCTAGGTCTCCTGGAGACAACAGAATTATTTCCGCCTTCAAAACCTGGCATAGCAGTTGAAGTAGGCACCATCACAATATTTCCATTCTTGGGCTATATTTTTTAAATGGCTAGAAATTCTTCATTATCGTTTCACTTAAATACTTGATGCTGTGCCACAGTTGAATAAGCCATATATATACACATATATCTTATACACGTATACACACAAAGCCATAAATAAAGCTTCTCACTTTGTAGGCACTCAATATTAATTTCCTTCACTCTTGTTTTTATATTGAAGCTCTGTGTTCCAGCATATCATTTTATAGATATAAACAAATATTTCTGCTATAGTGCAAGTTGTGATATAATAGAATATATGATATGATATGACATGACATGACATGGGAGTGACAAGAATAGATGGCATGTTAACTGAGTCTTGGGCTACTAGTAATTGGCCTGGTGGAAACTGGACCATATAAAGAAAAGGAACTCAAAGTCTAAGGGATTTGCATTTCGAGAAACAGTAAAGATTTCTTCTGAAATTGAAGCAAGTTGATACAAGAAAGGGTAATGTAAATTTAAATGGAAACTATTTATTACTTGTTTTGCTTTTCCTTAAAAAAATAGGGACAGGGAGAAAATTTAGAGCAAAGCAGAGAAATTAATTTTTACTAACAATCAAATGCAAAAGAAATTATAAATATCTGTCAAAAACAAGGCTAAGTGAACTATTTTTGAAGCAACAAAAAAAAAAAAAAAAGAAAAAGACCCCTGGGCAAGAAATTTTACAGTCATCCTCTTTCTAGGTCGGAACTCTCTTAGAATGAGACAAAGAAAAATCCGGGCCTGGAATAAGAGGAAGACATTAGGAATCCTTTCACCACACTGACAGAGATTTGTTTAACAAACAGACGAAGGGTCAGAGTAATCAGATATCACAGGAAAAGGTAAGGAGAATAAAAAAGACTGAGAGGAATAAATGAAAAATTGTGACTCCAGAGTAAAGGTTGATACATTTTAAAAATATCCATGAGGTTAAGTTAGGTGGAAAGAAAAAATAAATTATTAGAATATGATAAAGGAAAGAAAGAACCATTCTTCATGTTTCTCCACCAGAAAGCATTCAGTATGCTGCACAAAAATTAAATTTGATATTTTAAGGTACCTGAACAAGCACTAAATGAATTCTGGGCCAAAATAAAATTTTAAATTCCTGATACCCACTCTATACAACACAAAGCAGTGGTGGTGGGGGGTGAATGCTTCCACATAAAAATAAATGACTTGTTTTGGTTTACCTTTATAAGGCATAAATGGAGGGCATTGTAAAAGTATACGAATAGAAGCCAAGAATGCTAATTGTGTTTTTTTAAAAGAATAGAAAATCATGAAGAAAGGATCACAGAAACTACACCAATGTCATTAAAATATAATTGGACTTGCAGGAACAATTACTGTGCTGTACTGTAAGGGGAGCTGTTGGCACATAAGAGCAAAGCACACATATGAGCTCATCAGCCGGCCTTGGCAAGACCCACTTCCAGCTAGAAGCAGTCATGTTTCAACACCTCTGATTCCCTAATGCTGACAAGCTAAACAACTTGTTTTGTCTCTGGGAGCTCTTCTCTGGTGATTAACTGCTTATGGTGAATACTAATTATATGAAAGTACAGTATTGAAGAAGTAATGTTCTATTTCCTCTACCTGCAGCCTCGACTTGTCTCTGAATCTAGAAGGCAGAGCCATTGCAAACCAGAACCAAGAGAGAGATTTTCCTCCCCATGAATAAACAAATGTATCTCCTACTTTTTAGTATAGCACAGCTCACTGACAAGAAACTTCCTTTAACCTCTGGGCTCTAAACCAAATATAATTACCATAAAATGAGTGTTTTAAAGGCTTGTAATAATGATATGGATAAATCCACAGCAAGAGTTTGTGAATTAGTGAACTATCAGTGTTCTCCATTCCCCATGTCCCATGTTGAAAATTTACCCCAAATTGTCAGTTCTTAGGAACTGCACCTCAGATTAAAATCTTCTCACCAGGGAGTCTATGAGAATTTCTTCTTGTGTTTTAAATCCTAAGTGCTTGTTAAACCGCCAACACTGCAAAATTAGAGACCATTAAACAATATAAGGCAGCAAGTGATTAAATCTACCAAACACACATTCAAGCAGCTTAAGCTACTTTTTAATTAAAAATAAAATATCATTGGCTAAATTCAGATGTCTTAGCTATCCAGAAAAAAGTTAGAAGGCTGTTCAAAATGCATAATGTTGCTGACAAGCCAGATACAAAAGGAGAAACAGGGCAAGGGTTTGGCGGAACAGGAGGCTCCTCTTGGTCCCTGGGTCTGGGTGGCAGCACATCCCAATGCTGACCCGGTTTAGGCAGCGGACTCTAAACGGGAAGTCATGGCTGCGCTGCAGGGTGAGGACGCCATGTGGCTGCTGATTAAATAAGCTTTATTAGCTAAGGCCTCCAAGGAGACAGGGTGTTCCACCTTCTTGGCAAGGGAATGAGTTGAGTAACAGCATCGCAGGAAGCTAAGGCATTGGAGATGTATACATGGCTGAAGGAAATGTCAGTGACATTTTTAAATACAGCTTAAGCTAATTGATAAACATTTCTTAAAATAATTATTAGCTTTTGGGGAAGGAGGCACAGGGGCTTCTGAGTTAATGGGATCATCTGAGATTAAAAGAAATTTTTACTGTAAAGTTAGAAGTAAATAAACATTGTAGCTTTAAGTTGTTCCTACATGTTTAAAGTAAAGAAAAAGGGCCAGGGGGCTTAGTCAACTTCAGGCAAAAGGCCAAGAATCTGAAGATCAGACTTAAGGCTGGGATGATATCATTCACGCTAAAGTCTTGATACCCTTTCTGAAGCATGAGAAAATTTACTGGTAAAACCTTACCTCACCCACAGTTTTCTTATTTTTAACTCTATTTTTTTTCCTCTGGAGAATAATTTTTCGAATATGCTTTTTGCTTTATATGTAAATGTTATAAATTTACTTTGAGCTTCAGACATGGTCTTACCTAAAAAGCTTGCCCTAAAGTAAAGTACAGGCACTTGGTAGCTACAGGAATATAAGACATGATACTCATATTTAATCACTTTGGACGCTGCTGCAGTTTCAATCACTTCACAATCATCTGAGGGTAGCTCGAAAGCCTCCTGAAAAAAAGCAAAAACAAAATGAAAATGGGTTTGTTAATAAGAAAAGTAGTAACATGGAGAGGAAAAGAGGAGATTTTCTTCTTGCAAAATAACAGTTAAATAAATATAAGGCTATGAGACAAGGAAAAGGGAGTTTCCCATATTAATGTTTAACATTTGAGTCCTGGGTAAATAGTAAAACCAGAAAACATTAGCATTAAGTAATTCCAGATTGTTTTTGAGACACAAAGAAGCTCTGTATAAAGAAAAAGAAAGGAAAAAAAATCCAAAAAGATCTACTGCCTGAAAAATCTTTACTGTACAATTTTAGCAACAAGATGATGGCTATACAAGCTACCTTCTTCCCTACCTGTGAAAGCTAAAAACATCCTAACAATTGAACAAGAGGCTGTGAAATGTCCCTAAAGATTCTATTGTACTTGCCAAAAGATGATTCATTGTGTGCTGAACAATTCCCAGTTCCATTTTGAATAAGAAAGTTATTTTGCAAGAGGTTGAATTTGTTAGGTGTATTTCAAAACCTGAGATGATTCTGTTTTCCTCATTATTGTGCTATCTTTGGCATATTTCTACAATAAATCTTGATTTATAATAGAGTAGATGGCAAATATTAATGTCAACTTTGGAAACAGAGTTTTGTAAGCAGAGATGATGATAGTCATCTCACTTCTCACGTGATCATTTTTTACTGTTTTTTGTTGGGGGCCTTTCAAAGAATGTATCTTACTGTTTAGAAGCAATTAATTGGACATGTTGAGTCAGAGTCTGGTTCCATCCACATTCACTTATTTATTGGGGTTGAAGAATTTCCTTTGAAATTAAATTAGTACTAGAAGGAATGAAGCAGGTTGGTTTAGCTCATTTCTACCTCTCATTAAAATAGTAACAACAATGAACAATCAGAAATAACTAAGGAAAGATTTCACACTTTATCAATATGAAATAAGGTTTCCTGTGGAGATAAGCAAAGCCCCAGACTACTTTCAAGATCTGTATCTCCTTTACAGATAATTCTGTAATTCCCTACTCACAGTCAGTTCACTGGGGAGATATTACAATGGATAAATCACAACTGGAGATGTTTACAAAATATTTTTCACTAAACTCCAGTAAACACCATCAATTAAACACAATAAAATAACCAGAGAGAAATCATGGAAATAAATATGCCAGATACAGAAAATTAATACAGTAGCAAGAAAAAGATTTTTGTATTTTGTTTTGTTTTTAAATTTTTATTAGGCATAGGTATCTGTACCTTCTATTACATCAATTCTTTTAACCAAATTCTTTCTTTTTGGTTAATAATTGGGTTGCTTAGCATTTATAATTTCCTTTCTTTCTTAATATTATAAAATAATTCTATCTTGGTGGTAAAAATTACAAATATTGCACAAGTACATAAAAGAAAAAATGAAATTCCCCTCATCCCAGCACTCCTATACCTCATATACATCATTAACAGGCCAGAGTGTATTTTTTTAGACTTTTTGATTTTTGGCACACAAACACATAGACACATATACACCTCCTCCCCACCCCCGCCCCTGCTTAAATCCTGCTATATATACATATGATCCTAGAGTGGATATTTTCACTCATGGGCATCCTGCCACATGCTGCCAAGTCACTGCTATAGATTTAGTGCCTTTTAATGCCTTCTCTATATTTCACTGCATGACCACACCATAGTTTTTTTTTTTTTTAACATTTCCATATTGCTAGATATTTTAGGTTGATTATAGTTTTCTGCTACTGACAAATAAGGCTGCAATGAGTATCACAGCACATATACCCTTGCACACCTCTATTTTTTCTATGGTGCAGATTCCTAAGGGTGGAATCACTGTATCAAAGGGTATGAGCATTTTAAATTTCAAGAGATACTGAATCTCAGAAATTCCATCCTCAGAAAAAGGCTGTATCAATTTATATTCCCAGTAAAAATGTCTGAGAATGCTCTTTTCCTATGTCCAATAAATACTGAATATTGTTTTTAATTTTTGCCTACTGATGAATTTTTAAGTATCAATTTCTTATTGTTTTAATTTCTAGTTTCTTGGTTACTTACTAGTGAAGGCAAGCAGCTATTCATATGTTTATTGGTAATTTGTATTCTCCCATGATTTGCTTGTTTTTACTCTACTATTTTCTGATTGTTTGCATTTTTCCTATTGAATTATATAAACTGTTTGTATATTGGAAATAATAACTTACTATTAGAGATAAATATGTATGTCTGCACCATAGAAAAATAAGTGTGCAAGGATATATGTGAAATATAGACATATGTACACACATATATATAAAACACTTTCTCTCTTTTAACTGTTTGTTGTACTTTTTTATCACAAAGGGTTTTCTTTTTAACTTTTACGTAGTCAAATCTGTACATTTTCTGTTTATAGCTTCTAAGTTACATGTCTTCATCAGAAGGCTTCCTGCTGTATCCCACCTCAGTCTTACAAATTATAAAGATGTTAAATTTCTTTACTATATACACGTTTTTAAACTAAAATTTAGATCATTAATCCAACTGATTTTTGTTTTGTATATAGTGTGAGGTAAGAAATTTTCCTAGATGATTTCAATAGTTCATCTTCTTTCCACTGATTTTAAATGTCACCATACCTCTCTCTCTCTCTCTCTCTCTCTCTCTCTCTCTCTGTGTGTGTGTGTGTGTGTGTGTGTGTGTGTTTATTCTCTAATCTTCTCTATTGAGCCATTTCTCTTCTTAGACCATCACTGTGCAATTCTTAAGTGCATACTGAATTGAAGGATTTGGGTCATTAATTTCTACAGAAAAGTACAGAAATAGACTGTCTGAGACCCAGTGCTGCTAGTAAAGACACAATTTTTGGAAAAAATTTCTTCACCCAAACTGAAATTAAGCACTCAGTAATGTGCTGGGGTTGACATCAGGTATGTGAAACTGGTGATCAATTAGGCATAGATCCATATTCTCTAGGAGGCTCAAGAAATAAGAGGGAGAGGACAGAACAAGCTTCTTGAAAATCCTCTTAGAAGTCTCACTCCAGTCACTGTTCTCACTGGCAGCTGAGTGCCTTTGTGGGTTGTGAAGGCCAGGGGTACTTGTCCTCTAATTAGGACTGCTACTATGTCATCCAGTGTTGCTTTGGGCAGTCATCTACGTACAGTGACATTTTTGCATGCTTTATTCATATTAGATGAATTTGAATCCTTCGTTTGTGTCTGCTAGGATCTTTCCATCATTTGTGGTCACCTTTATGATGACCATGAAAATATCATTCCTTGAAGTCATGCAATTTGGAAATCTCAGACTTCTACACATTTTCTGCTTTTTTTTTCCAGTTAAAAGTGCCAGATGGTTTTAGAACTTCAAGACTAAGGTTCTTCTCTTACTCATTTTTGTATTCCTGGAGATTCTAGTACAGAGCTAAGAACCCTAGTAAGCAACATTTTCTATTTCAGTCTGAAGATCTGTTTCCTCCTATGTAAGTACATTATAACAAACTTCATAGGTAATTTACCAGCAATCTCACACCACCTTAAAGACTAAAAAGAAGTAAATGGAGGAGCAGAGATGCAAAATATCACCAAAGAGGATATTCCAATGGCAAATAAGCACATAAAGAAGATACTCAATATCCTTAGCCAGTCAGGGAAATATAAATTAAAACTATAATGAGGTATCACTAAACATCTGTCAGAATGGCTAAAATAAACAAAATAGTGGACACCACCAAATGTTGGTGAAGACAGAGAAACTAGATCATATATTGCTGGTTGGACTATAAAATGGCGTATAGCCTCTCTGGAAAACCATATGACAGTTTCTCATACAAGTAAACATATAATTACCACACAACCTACCAATTGCACTCAAGGATTTATCCCAGAGCGTTGAAAAACCTGTGCATGAATGTTCATAGCAGCTTTATTCAGAATAGCCCAAAATTTGAAACAATGAGGTGTCCTTCAACAGGTCATGGTTAAACAGACTGTGGTACATCCATACCATACTATTTAGAAATAAAAAGGAACAAACAATTGATATACACAACAACCTGGATGAATCTCCAGGGAATTATGCTAAGTGATAAAAGTCAATCTCCGAAAGTTATATACTGTGATTCCACTTATATAACATTTGTGAAGTGACAACACTTTTGAAGTGAAAACCAGCAGATTAGTGTTGGGGGACTGGAGGGCAGAGAGCTGGTTATAACATGGCAGCATGAGATATCTTTGTGGTGATGGAACTATTCTGTATCTTGACCATGGTGGTGGATATGTAAGCCTACACATGTGATAAAACTGTACAGAACCAAATACACAGACACAGATACACACAATGAGTACAAGTCAAACTGGGGAAATCTGAATAAGGTCAGTGGATTGTATTAACGTCAACATCCTGGTTCTGATATTATACTATAGTTTTAGAAGAAGTTACCACTGGGGGATATGGGTAAATGGTAGATGGGATTGTTATTTCTTATTACTAAATATGAATCTATAGTTATCTCAAAAAATTTCAATTAAAAAATGGAAAGCATAGGAACAGTGAGGCAATTTGAGGCTTGTTAAAAACAATAAAAATGTTAAGACCTCAAGGTGCTAATAATACAGATAACAGAGGGATCATGTTAATAAAGAGAGTCTAATGTCTGGGATTTGTTTGAAAATAATACAGGAGAAGGGTAAGTGGATGGAAGTGTAGAAGGACCATGACTGGCATGGAGGGGTGATTGCTGAGATTGTTTGATGAGTCCCTGGGTGTTCATTATACTGTTCTATCTACTTTAAGGAGTATTTTAAATTATTTAAAATAAAAAATTAAGATAAAAAAAGTTTCTGATACCATGTTACAGAACACAGAATGAAGAGAATTCTAATAGTGAAAGAAACCTGAATCATTCCACCTAGTCCAACACGCTCATCTTGCAGATACAAACAACAATACCCTTCTTGTTGGTGCCTTACCCAATGCCACCTAGGTACAGTAGTTCCCA